CTCAACTTCAATGGCAATAAAAGATCACTCACTCTTTGTTAACAAAATACTAATTTTTTTTCTTAATATTGAGAAAATTTGTTTCAAATGCTATATATGATCAACAAGACTAACACTATAAATTAAAATATCATTAAAAAAAATACTAAAACAAACCTCCTTAAATAAGGTCTAAAAATGCTATTTATAACTCATTGGAATGCTACAGAGGCATTGGTTAAGCCAAATGACATAACCAACAACTCATAATGCCTACTATAAGTCCTGAAGGTAGTCTTATGAACATCTTCTAACACCATTCTAATTTGATGATACCGTTCTCTTAAGCACCATTCTATTCAAGTTTCACTTAACTCATCAAACAGGTCTTCCACTAATGGAATGGGATATTAATTTTTGACATTTTTCTTATTCAACTCTCTATAGTTAATGCACATTTTCTAAGTGACATCCTTTTTCTTCACCAAGACTACAGGAGATAAAAAAAGATAGCAACTTTCTTGTATAATCCCAGTTTGTAAAAAATCACCCACCAATTTTTCTCAATAACAGTCTTTTTGTGCAGTAGGGTACTTATAGTGTAATGTTCGCCTCGACATTACTAGGACAACACTCATACATGCCATTGTGATAATTGGGATTAAATAAAATCCTATAAAGAAGTTATCACAACTTAAGGGTTTAAAAGATAATTAGTTTAAAACATTGGGATCCCAAGAAAACCCTTTTTTAAAATATTGTTTGAGCTTAAACCATAGTTAAAAATTAATTTAGAATAAATACGGAAACATAAAAATCAAACCACATCAAATTAGGCTAAAACAAGTCACTTTTCAACAATTCTGGTCCGTCCACAGTGACGAATGGCATAGACCCCTTGCACCGTGGTGCAACAACCACGCGCCGTGGTGCACACCTACTATCATGATAGCCTTCCGAACCTCCGAAGCACGCTGTTTCGCCATTCGATGTCCGATTTGGGCGATTCAAGTGTCCACACGAAGCTCTTTGAGCCCTCTAACTAATGGCACTGATTTTATACTTAAACAATCATCCGTTTAAAAGACAGACATCCAAACCCAGAATGGTTTGTTTTCACATCAAAACACACACAAAAGTGTCCAACTCACAATGCCAATTGCCATTAGCCCTAGAGATACTTTGACCACCTCAAATGGACCACACACAACATGACAATTCAATTATAATACACAATTAAGCATTCACACTCAAAATAACTATTAAAACCCCAATTTAAAACAACATAAAAGAGGTGGATAAAATCTAACACACATATCAACTTAGTCATTTTGGTACATCCATCTCTTTAAATATATCACATGCAAGTGTAACTTGGCCAAGCACACACACTTAATCCACAATATCAACCTTTGACCAAGATACACACACCCTTATCACAAATTCATATCAAAGGATAATCACAACAATGTCATGTTCTTAAGTTGGCATTATATATTGACAATATTCATTACAATACCCAAAAAGAGGAAAGGGAAGAGCTATACAACTATGTTCTTCACTCTTCAAACCCTTCCTTTCCCTTGCCTCTACCAGAGCCCTCACCTGTAAAATATAACTACGGGGTGAGATAAACATCTCAGTAATAGAATAATTCACTACTATTAATTAGCATGCACAACCATAAGAGAGTAAAATTATAAAACTCCAAAATATACTTTTAGCATATCACCATATACTTTTTTCATCAGTACAAATCTTTTACCACTAGTATGATCATTCTACCATCCGAGCCTCCATATCACCCCGACTGAAACCATATGCTCTTGGACTAAGTACACATTCACAATGATCCAAGCTCACCTTCAGTGGTAGGATCACTTGGCCAAAGGTGTCCTATCCCACTTCCGGACTACAGTTTCCCCCAATTGAATTGAGGTGTTGTTACTCCAATACCACATCATTGATGCTAAGGAGCATTACTCTCCAACGCCGTATCTTGCATGGATACTAAGGAGAAAATCTCTAACATCGTGCCTCACTAGACACTAAGAAGATACATGCCATATAGACTTCCACTTCTCCTTCCTATAGGTGAACTCCCACCCCTTAACATGATCACGCCCATACTCAACATATATATCACATATACATTTCAAATTTCTCAACCTATTCATATATAACTTTAATCATCCTCATCATTTATAAATAAATTTTTTATGCACAAAACCACATTTCGCAATATGTAAGGTTATCAAATCTCAAGTAATAGATTTAACATATATACTCACGTACAGTTAAGAAATATAATTAAATAGTGTAAATCATTCCATTACCTCAACCCTTTATCACACAAAAGGATTATTGTGGCTCAACGTTAACTCCACACGTTCTATACACACGATATAGCTCGAGCAACGCTTAATCTATACAATCAAGTGACAATCATCAATTATCACTCCATATAACTCCATATTCACTAGGTTCTAAGTGTCTAAAGTACTTAAATTCCTTTTCTAACAACATCAACCATTCTCAAACACTCTAACCATCCTATTAAACATCCCTAACACCAAAATTACTAACCAATATCCCACATTATCTCAAAATCTTTAAATTATATTTAAGATTCATCCAAACCCTAATTAAAAATTTTAAATCACCATAAAACTCACAAACCTAGGGTTAGAAGCTTGACTTAACTCTCTAAGACCTTAAATAAATTAATAGGTTCAATCTAAACCTAAGGGAACCAAAATTAAAGCCCACATTGCCCCAAATGTCTAGATTTTTGCATAATGAGGGAGAGGGAGAAGAAAGGAAGGCTTACCCAATGTATATGAAGCTTGAAAGGCCTCCAAAATCATGTTAGAAGCAAGCCCTAGTAGCCACAAGTCTCTCTTCATTGCTGCTCTTGAGTTCCTTCTTTCTCTCTTCTGTTTTTTGAGTCTGATTCGCGATCTGATAAGTGTAAATTTTGCACGTGCGCCGCAGCACATTGACACGCCCGTTGCGGCGCATAGCACAGAAAGTCTCACAAAATTTTAAACTCTTTTCCGTGCCATAACCCGCTCAAACATAGCCCTAGCCCTCTTCTAAGACTGTCCAAGGATGTAAAAACTATATTAGTTTCCCATAAACCTCGTTAAATCAATAATTTATCTAAATTGATCAAATTACTCTTGAAAACACTGATAATTGCTAATTGGAAAACTTAGGTTGTTATAATTCTTCTCTCCTTTTAGGAATTTTACCCTCAAAATTTAAAATCTTGCATAAACACATACTTATAAAAATAATTGAGGATATAACTGCCTCATTTTGTCCTCGATCTCCTAAGTTGTATTACCGAGAGTCATACCCTTCCAAAAGACCTTAATCAATCGAATAGTCTTATTCCTCAATTGTCAATCTTTGACATTCACAATTCACTTTGATTCAACTCGATAGGTCAAGTTTTCCTGAAGTTTCACATCTTCTGACTCAATAACATGAGAAGGATTTGGTTGATACTTCTTAAGCTAACTCATATGAAATATATCATGAACACTCGATAAACTCGATGGTAAGGCAATCCGATAGGCAGTAGGTCCCAACTTTTCCAAAATCTTAAAGGAACCAATAAACCTGAGAGTCAATTTCTTAGCCTTTATCAATTTCCTAATGCCATTCATTGGCGTGACCCTAAAAAATACATGATCACCAACCAAAAATTTCAACGGTCTTCTACGCCGATTTGCGCAGCTCTTTTGTCAACTCTGGGTTGTCAACAACTTTTGCTTAATCAACTAGATCTTCTGGGTGGTTTGGTCTACCAAATCCGAACCTAACAAACTTCTTTCACTTAATTCTATCAAAATAAAGGCAATCAACATCTTCTTCCATATAATGCCTCATATAGAGCCATTCCAATGCTAGAATGAAAACTGTTGTTGTAAGCAAATTTTGCTAACGGTAGATGTGTATCCCAACTACCTCTTTACTCTAAGGCACAAGCTCGTAACATATCCTCGAGCGTTTAGATAGTCCTCTCAATCTAGCCCTCCGTCTATGGATGATATGTCGTGCTAAATTTCAATCTAGTACCCATTGATCTTTACAATGCTCGCCAAAAGTTTAATGTAAACCTCAGATCATGATCAGAGACAATGTCTTTCGGCATCCTATGAAGTCTTATTATCTCATTTACATAGACCTCGGCATACTTTTTAAGTAAATAGGTATTCTTCACTGCCAAGAAATGCATTGACTTTGTCAACCGATCCATAATCACCCATATTACGTCATAGCCTGCTTGAGTTCTAGGTAATCCAGTGATGAAATTCATTGATATGCTATTCTACTTCCACTTTGGGATCTCTAGTGGTTGCAACACACCACTAGGCCTTTAGTGCTCAATCTTAAACTTTTGGCACGTCAGACACCTAGTCACAAACTCTGTTACATCTTTCTTCATTCCTGGCCACCACCACATTTGCTTCATATCCTAATACATCTTAGTGACACCAGGGTGAATAGTATACTCACTATAATGTACTTCTTCTAGAGTCACCTTCCTTATCTCCTCATCACTTGGTTCGTAAATCCGATCCTGATAAGTTACATATCCATCATCATTGAATCCAAATTCTGTGGATCTTTTCTCTTCAATATCCTCCCAAATTCCCAACAAATATTGATTGTCAAACTAAGCAGTCCGCAGCTCTTTTTAGAATTCATTGGTTATAATTATAGAATGCATATTGTACAACGTCATCTGAGGCGCTTTCCTCTGAGTATCCAGGCAGGTCTCAAGTAATTGATGCTCTTAGATCATCATGTGGATGACATGCACTATTTTCCTGCTTAACGCATCGGCCACTATATTGGCTTTACTGGATGATACTTAATCTCAAAGTTGTAGTCCTTGAGAAATTACATCCACCTGCGTTGCCTCATGTTTAGTTCCTTCTTATCCACTAAGTACTTCAAACTCTTGTGGTCGCTAAGTACTTCAAACAAGACCCATAGAGATAGTGTCGTCAAATTTTCAAGGCAAAAACCACTGCTGTTAACTCTAGATCATGAGTCGAGTAATTCTCCTTATGCGGTCGTAGTTGTCTTAAGGCATAAGCAGCAACTCGCTCATCTTGCATTAAAACACACCCTAAACCTTTCAATGATGCATTCGTATAAACCACATATGGTAATTGAGGATTAAGAATAACCAGTACTGGAGCAGACGTCAGTTTCCTCTTTAGCCCTTGAAATGCCAACTCACACTTATCTGTCTACATATACGGTTGATCCTTTCAAGTCAACTTAGTCAATAGAGGCGCGATCTGCAAAAATCCTTAAATGAATCGTCGATAGTAGCCTGCTAATCCCAAAAAGCTTCTGACCTCTGTCACTGAGGTAGGTGGTTCCCATGTCAACATATCATCTACCTTGTGTGGATCCACGGTAATCCCTTCTGTTGACACCATGTGACTAAGAAATCTCACTTCCCTTAACCAAAACTCACATTTACTGAGTTTGGCATACAACTTATTATCCTTTAAAAGTTACAGGACAGTACAAAGATGCTTCGCATGCTCTTCCTTGTCTCTTGAGTAAATTAGAATATCATCGATGAATACCACCATGAACTTATCCAGATAAGGACGGAAGATTGTATTCATATAGTCCATAAATACTGTTGGAGCATTCATCAATCTAAATGGCATCACTAGAAATTCATAGTGACCATATCTAGTGCAAAAGGCAATCTTTGGCACATCTTCAACCCTGACTCATAGTTGATGATAGCTTGATCACAGGTCGATCTTAGAAAACACTGCAACTCTACCCAGCTGATATAGTAAGTCATCAATTCTGGGCAAAGGATATTTGTTCTTGACTATCACCTTGTTCAACTATCTGTAGTCAATGCAAAGTCTCATACTACCATCTTTTTTCTTCACAAATAACACCGGTGATCCCCACAGAGATATACTCAGTCTTATGAACCCTTTTTCTAGCAATTCCTCTAGTTGTTTCTTTAGCTCTGCCAACTCAAATGGAGACATCCGATACGAAGCTTTTAATATAGGTTCTGCTCCAAGCACAAGGTCAATGAAAAATTCCATCTCTCACTCATGCAGTAATCCAAATACTTCCTCTGAAAAGACTTTAAGGAATTTGTTCACCACTCCTATTATCTCAATTCCTCCATCATAAGTAGCATGAACAGAAAAGAACACCATATATGCCTGACAACCTTGTTGAATGCACTTTTCTACTTGCATCATAGACAAGAGTTTTAATTGACTAGGTTTCACAATAGATGCAGTGTACACTAGCAAGGATATTATCTTTCTTGCACAATCTAGTATTGCATTATTTGCTGACAACCAGTCCATACCAACAACTACATTAATCCCAATCACGAGTAGACAGATCAAATCAATAGTAGTTGATCTATTCTCAAATCTCAAATCAATACACAGGCAAGCACGGTAGGTTCTTATAAAAATTCCCACTAACATAGACACATTAATCACATATGGCAAGGTATGCATAGACAATTTCAACCTCAACACACAGTCACCAAAAATACAAGAATGGTTAGCACCCGAATCAAACAAAGCATCTATATAACAGTTGTGTAGAGAGATTTTACCTCTAATCAAATTTAGAGACACACCTGCCTCCTCTTAGGATAACCCGAATACTCTTCTAGGAATAGTCGATCTCTGTTCTGTAGTACCCACTTTGCCCTCTTCACAATATTTGGCTATATGCCTTGTCTTGCCACACTTAAAGGAAATCCAATACTTTCCCACATGGTATCTCCCACACTTTGAGTACTGAGGGATTCTGGCCATGCTAAGAGTAGGCACAAGCACTGTAGAAGCTTGTTGAGATGGCTGTGTACCACTGGCACTGTTCTTGGGTCCACTACTCCTTTAGAAAGAACCTCGGGACTGTGATCCCCTCTAAAAAGTCTTCTTCTTCCCAAAGCTCTCAGAACTACTAGAGCTAAAACCAGATCTCTTGCTAACTCTACCAGTAGGGCCAAGCGACTGTGAGAATCTGCCTTGACTATCCCTTCTCTTCTTAGTCTCTGCCTCTCTGCCCTTTCTCGTAGCTATTCTTAGCTTATTGCACATCTCATCATAAGATGTGATCTCCAACAAGGCTAATTGCTATCAGTACTCAGGCCTTATCTTCTCAAGTAGTCTCTTAGCCTTCCATTTCAAGTCATCATTTCTTATGAGGTAAGTGGAGTACTTTGACAATTGGTTGAACATAGCAATGAATGCTTCTTCATCAAGATTCCCTTGCTTGAATTTGTGAAACTTAGCCTCTTTCTCTACTCTAAAGGCCATTGGAAAGTAAAAGTTGGAAAACCTCACTTTAAATTCATCCCATGTCCACTTAATTCCACCCGTTGGTCTCACCGACTTCCACCAATATTTAGCCTCTTTTATAAGTAACATGGAGGCCAAAGTCACCTTCTACTCCTTTGAGCATGGCACCACTTCAAATATTATCTCAATTCTCTTCATCCACTCTTCGGCTTCGTCCTCCATTGTTCCATCAAAGGTAGGCAGATTAAGCTATGAGAAACTCTTCCATGCTTGATTCATGGAATTCTGTAACCACTACCATCCACAGCTCTAAATTGCTTGGGTGTGCTCTCCTCATAAGCTTCATCTTCTTCCTCATACATCTCTTCTTCATTCTCAATTGTTCTATACTCTCCTCTTGCCCTATCATTCTTTAGTGTACCTTGCCCCCGTATTGAATTACATATTTCTTACATCAAATTCCTCATATCCAATAGCAAGGCCTCATTACCCTATGGCTCATTCCTCAGTTGTTCCAAGTTCTGACCAACCAAAATGTGATTCTCTGGCAATAGCTCATTAATCTCTGGTACCACATCCGTATTAGATGGGTTACTACTCGTAGCCATTCTGGCAGTTCTTCTTCTTGCCATTCTCTCTCCCCTCTTAAGGATGGAAGTAACTATACAAAGAGTAAGCGTTACATGAGATAACTATGCAAAGGGAAGGTAAGTGTAACAAATATATATGCTAACTTCTAGACATGAATGCAACAACAATACAATCCAACACAACAATCACATATACCAGTCTCAAAACACTTGAAACTAATACCAAATTGTAATGTCCGCCTCGACATTACTAAGACAACACTCATACATGCCGTTGTGATAACTAGGATTAAATAAAATCCCATAAAGAAGTTATCACAACCTAAGGGTTTAAAAGATAATTAGTTTAAAACATTGGAATTCCAAGAAAATCATTTTTTAAAATATTGTTTGAGCTCAAACTATGGTTAAAAATTAATTTAGAACAAATACGACAGTATGAAAATCAAACCACGTCAAATTAAGCTAAAACAAGCCACTTTTCAACAATTTTAGTCCGTCCGCCGTGACGGATGGCATAAAGGGATGAGTCCCTCAAAAGCCCCTTACATTATGGCGCAACAACCACGCATCGTGGTGCACATCTACTGTCATAACAGTAGATTGCTATCATGACAACCCTCCGAACTTTTGGATTGCGTTGTTTTGCCATCCGACGTCCAATTTAGGCGATTCAAGTATCCGTATGAAACCTTTGAGCAATCTAACTAATGGTACTGATTTCACACTCAAAAAATCATCTGCTTAAAAGATGGACACTCAAACCCAAAATGGTTCATTTTCACATCAAAACACACACAAAGGTGCCCAACTTACAATGCCAATTGCTATTAGCCCTAGAGACACTTTGATCACCTTAAATGGACCACACACAACATGACAATTCAATCATAACACACAATTAAGTATTTACACTCAAAATGACCATTAAAACCTTAATTCACAACAACATAAAGGGGTGGATAAAATCTAACACACATATCAACTTAGTCATTTTGGTACATCCATCTCTTTAAATATATCACATGCAAGTGTAAATTGGCCAAGCACACACACTTAATCCACAACATCAACCTTGGACCAAGATACACACACCCTTATTACAAATTCATATCAAAGGATAATCACAACAATGTCATGTTCTTAAGTTGGCATTATATATTGACAATATTCATTACAATACCCAAAAAGAGGAAAGGGAAGAGCTATACAACTATGCTCTTTACTCTTCAAACCCTTCCTTTCCTTTATCTCTATTTAAGCCCTCACTTGTAAAATATAACCATGGGGTGAGATAAACATTTCAGTAGCAAAATAATTTACCACTATTAATTAACATGCACAACCATAAAAGAGTAAAACTATAAAACTCCAAAATATACTTTTAGCATATCACCACATACTCTTTTCATCAATACAAATCTTTTACCACTAGCATGATCGTTTTACCATCTGAGCCTCCATATGACCCCGACCAAAATCATAGGCTCTTGGACCAAGTGCACATTCACAATTATCTAAGATCACCTTCAGTGGTAGGATCACCCAGCCAAATGTGTCCTATCCCACTTGCGGACTACAGTTTCCCCCTATTGCACACGAATCAGGGTGTAGTTACTCCAATACCGTATCATTGATGCTAATGAGTGTTACTATCCAATGCCGTATCTTGCATGGATACTAAGGAGAAAATCTCCAACACCGTGCCTCACTAGATACTAAAGAGATGCATGCTATATGGACTTCCACTACTTCTTCCTATGGGTGAACTCCCACCCCCTAACATGATCACGCCCACACTCAACATATATATCACATATACATTTCAAATTTCTCAACCTATTCATATATAACTTTCATCATTTTGATCATTTACAAATAGATTTTTCATGCATAAAACCATATTTCACAATATGTAAGGTTATCAAATCTCAAGTAATAGATTTAACATATATACTCACATACAGTTAAGCAATATAATCGAATAGTGTAAATTATTCCATTACCTCAATCCTTTGTCACACAAAAGGGTTACCGTGGCTCAACGTTAGCTCCACATGTTCTATACACATGATATAGCTCAAGCAACGCTCAATCTACATAATCAAATGACAATTATCAATTATCATTCCACATAACTCCAAATTCACTAAGTTCTAAGTGTCTAAAATACTTAAATTCCTTTTCTAACAACATTCACCATTCTCAAACACTCTAACCATCCTATTAAACATTCCTAACACCAAAATTACTAACCAATATCCCACATTGTCTCAAAATTTTCAAATTATACTTAGGGTTTGTCCAAACCCTAACTAAAAATTTCAAATCACTATAAAACTCACAAACTTAGGGTTAGAAGCTTAACTTAACTCTCTAAGATCTTAAATAAATTAATATGTTCGATCTAAACCTAAAAAAACTAAAATCAAGGCCCCCATTACCCTAAATGTTCATATTTTTGCATAATGAGGGAGAGGAAGAAGAAAGGAAGGCTTACCCAATCTATATGAAGCTTGAAAGGCCTCTAAAATCATGTTAGAA